ACAAAACAACCCACACACTTGTCAAGTATCAGTAATTAAAGAAAACCAATTCTACAGAGCTCATGATGGCCATCTGGAGTTTCTTTGACCTTTCTCTTTAAGTTAAGAGTCAGCCGAGGCACAGCCATTAGGCACTTAAAAACCATATTTTCATCATACGTTGTTGACCACACACCTGCACTATTAGGCTGTTAAAACAATCATCAGGAGTGCAAAATATCCTCCTACCTTGCCTAGCAGGAACGAAATTGTAAACAGAAGTGCCTGATGGCTTTCAAGGTGACATGCAGTTTTCCAATCATGTCTTCCACGGCGCACTATCTGCTCATAGGTAGTCACCTAAGCAATGTCATTAAAGGACTCAAGTGTCATTTCATTACTTCACCTTTTAGGATCCAATTCATCCAGCAGTTTTTTTTTTTTAAACCAGGAGTCTGAAGCTCAAATCTTTTACAACTCTCAGAACAGATGGCACAGCCATATTAGCAATGACACTATATATACACACACCAAGTCAACTGGTGCTATTATCTGGTTAAGTGACTGTCAGCATTTCCATTACAAACCCCAGCATTCAAGGGTCTATAATTCAGATACTTTAAATAACATCTGGCTGAAACTTGGTGTAAAGAAATGATGACTGTTGAGTAAAAATTAGTATAATTTTGTGAATGTGTAAATACTTCTAGAAGACTCAGCTTGATCAATCGAGTCCTTTTTTTAGGGATGTCTTCCACTTATCGGTTTATTTTGGGGGGTCCTAGCACATGCCATTCATTTATTCAAGTCAGTCATTCATTCAGCAAGTATTTCACATTTACCATGTGCCCAGGCCTTGTTCTAAGTGATACAGACACTGGACAACAGTTTCCTCTCCCTACAGGGCTTATATATTCATCAAGAAAAAAATAAAAATTAGCAACTATATATGCCACTAAATAAATCTCAAGCCAGTATGCACAGTTAAGGATTAGAGTACACTTCTCACAGTATTCTCAGTGTTTTAAATAATACATCTTGATCCTTCTAATCTTATTTTAATTCCACTGCTGCAAAGTTGGCTCAGTCATAGTTAATGGAAAAAAAACTCACAAATTTTGAATGGACAAAAAAAAAAATCGTTGAAAATGTGGCAGATGGGTTTTCAAATGAAATCCGGTCAGTTTTAAGATAACTCATGTTTTATTGCTAAAGGGGGAAGGGGCACTCAGGTTTTGGAGGTCTTGAGGCTTATACAGTATGGGGAGTCCTGTTGTATAAAAAGGCAGCTCTAGCTCCAGTAACAAGTACAAACTTAGGTATAAAAGTTAATGTTGAGAATGAGAGAAAAATAAAAAGTTATGCATTTATAAAAGCTCACATATATTTCGACATCCAAAAACCCAGCTCCTAGATGGACTGTCTCTGAAGCTTTAGCATTTACAATCTTCAAGGTAAATTTGTCTCTGGGTAGAGGAATTGCTGAAAGGCAATATGGAGAATTGATACCAATCTTAAATCCAAGGAATTTTTTTAAAAGTTAGATGCAAATTTGAAAGAAAATACTACACGTGCCCAATACGGACTGGATTGTGAGAAACGAGAAGCAGACATTTAAGCAACATAAAAGAAACCAGAAGAAAGCCCACGTGTAAACATCTGTCTGGTGCCTAAGATATTTTTTCCCTCTAAAACCATGTATTGCTGTCTGAAAACCGATGTTTTCAAGGCTTTCCCCCTACTTGATAGATTAATTTCATGTAGCAAACCCTGTTTCAGCAGTAGTGACTAGTGGGAGCATCCAAGAGAAGTATCGTAAGGCCTTATCTCATTCAGGTGAACAAGAGCATTCTGATAACCCAAAGATCATATGCATATGAGTGGTGAGTAATCATGGGTGGCCCCAAAATTTTACTTCTTAAGTATCGGAGGGTAGAAGAAAGAGGCCAGGGTTGGGATACATAGTCAAATCAATTTCTTCACACTTTACTAGATCCAAGTACTGAGGTAAATTGATGTCTAAATCTCAGCCATTTTATCGACAAAATTTCAATTGTGGTATCTTTAATGTAAGCATTTTTCAGGCTTCAATGATATTCCTGTATCTCTGTAACTAGAGAACCATGCACAAAAAACACAGTCAACCAATACCAGCTTCGCCTCCATCTGTACTGCAAGTAATGTGAACTTGGAACATGGGTAGAAAAGCAGTATCTGTTGTATGTAACCCCGTCTTCTTTGTGGTAACCCATGAATCTCATTCTGGTAGTATCCAGTCACCATAAGGTGATCTCAGCACTGAATGGTAACATCATCTATTATAAGAGCTTCTGGGTACTTACATTATCTTCTAAAAAAAAACCCATCTCTGTGCATTACAGAATTATTTGTTTATCATGCATAACATCCTGCAGGTATAATGATCACAGTTCCTTTGTTCGAAGATATCCCATTAGCCAGCCAATTATGTTGGTGATCTGTTAGTCTCCTTTACGGCCCAAATGCTCCCTGCTCTCCAATTCATATGAACCTTTAAGAACACCATATGTTCAAATTGCTTCACTCAGTACTAAGTCCCTTTCCTACTATTATCCCCATCTGTGTAACCGCATGCGTTGGGGAATGAATACTTGACTTTTCGTTGGTTTTAAATCCAAGTTACTGCCCGGTTTATTTACATGTGCTTTCTTTAATTGCTTTCTTCGGGTATTTCTTTCATGTTTACTTGACTAAAAATCTTGGTCGAAACAGTCTGTTATAAGAATATGTGGAAAGTTTCCAAGCTGCTCATCTTGTTCCTAGTTTGCCATTCTAAAGATGTGACCGTTTATGTCTCAGTATGGTTGACGAGACACATCCTGGCTTTGCTCCTTTTATCAGTGCAGACTGGTTCTCAGACTACATTTTCTAAACTTATCTTTCTTTGATTCATGCCGCTTGGCTTAGGTGAGGGAAAGACCTATATCCTTTTCATTAATGAGAATTTACTTAATGAAAATCAATTAATTAAAAGTTCATTAATTGTCATAAAAATGTCATTTAAAGTCAAATAATGGCTATATGGCCGGTAACAAGAGGTTGACTAAGTGATACAATCATCATGGTTGTCACTGAAATGTTCTGGTAAACCTTGAGACTATATGATTAACTTGATGTTTTCATTAATGTCAGCATTGTTTCACTATTTGCTTTCAGATCGATTCTGACTGTCCCTTCAAACTGAGACACCATATTTATATACCTCTGAAGAACTGGCTAGTATATATGATAAAGATGCGATTACCTAAATGGTCACATTGCTTTGCTCCAAAGACACTTACCAGGGAATGCCAGATCAACACAAAACTCAAGCTAAGTAGGATGCATCTTCTGCAAATATTCATTCTATTAGAAACTGGGGGGAGTGTCAAATCATTTAATAGCATGTAATTTTTTACATGCTATTTAGTACCGTGTGTTAAAGTCTTTTTTATTGGACATGAGACTTCAAAAATATTCAACTCTGGTGGTGAGCTACTATGTGTAATGATCCATTGGTGCCAGGTGAACATGGCCATTCTCTGCTGTTTTGAGTGTTACCTTGGCAGAAATGATTTATGAAGTATGGCCTTATACAACTGAAAGTCCCATTCCACTGTGCCTCTTAGCAAAGCCTGTCTAGAAGGGTTTTCCAGAAGCGAAACTGTTTGACCATTAAAGACTTACAGTTAAGAGGAGAAATTGGAAAACCCACGATAGATGGTACACAATGTCTTTTGCTATCTTATCATTGTCATGGACATTTGCAAACAAAGGGGAGACAGGGATCATGATACAGACATCCAAGCAAATGTGACATCAATTCACACATATATAATTTTTATACCTACTTTATTTGAACCATATACGAAAATTAAGGTGGGATTAATTCATTATCATTTTACTTATTGTGATTAAAGAGTAACCAGTACATGTATTCAGGTAATTCTGAAATGATATTGTGCCTAAGTATTCATAAGGCACTTGGATTTGGTTAATAGGCTGAACACGTAATTCAGGTTACTAGTACTTTTTAATAAAATATTGTTTTTCTGGTCAGGTAAAATTAAAGAAGACAGCATAATATCATTATACAACAGCACTCATTCATTAGAACCTCAGTCATTGGAAACTAATGATAATTTGAACTACACTGTACTGATCTGGGCTCGGCTTTTACACTACTTACCAAGACAGTAAAAATACCATGCAAGATTTCAGAATAATAGACTAATACGAGGGAAGAAACATCGTTGATATTTTATTGCCAACATTCTAATTACACAATTAATTCTGCCCAATAAAGTCACTGGTTGGCAATAATTTCAAAATTTTCATCTTGTGTGCATAAGCTAGAGATATAGTATTGCCTTTCTAAAGGTAGTTATTTGAGTTAAACTCTTTTCCAACCCATGGGTGCCTGGCTGGCTCAATTAGAAGAGCATGCAACTCTTGATCTAGGGGTCGAGAGTTTGAGCCCCATGTTGGGTGTAGAGATTACTAAAAAACAAATAAGCTAGGGTGCACCTGGCAGCTCAGTCAGTTAACCAACTCTTGATTTTGGCTCAGATCATGATCTCGCGATTCATAGGTTCTAGCCCTGCATGGGGCTCTGCGCTCATGGTGCAGAGCCTGCTTGGGATTCTCTGTCTCCCTCTCTCTCTCCCCCTCCCTCACTCGTACTGTCTCTGCCTCTCTGAAAATAAATAAATAAACTTAAAAAAATATTAAAATATAACCAAAAAAATAACACTTATAAAGGGGCCCCTGTAAACATAACAACACAAGAAACAACAGGTGTTGGTGAGGATGCAGAGAAAGGGGAACCCTCCTGCACCACTGGCGGGAACGCAAACTGGTGTAGCCACTCCAGAAAACAGTAAAGAGGTTCTCAAAAAACGAAAAATATGATCCAGCAATTGCACTACTAGGTATTTCCACAAAGGACACAAAATACAGATTTGAAGGGGCACATGCACCCCAATGTTTAGAGCAGCATTATCATCGCTTCTCAGCCTTTTGGCTAAGATCAAGTGTAGAGCAGCATTATCAACAACAGCAAACCTATGGAGACAGCCCAAATGTCCATCAACTGATGAATGGATAAAAAAGAAGTGGGGTGTGTGTGTGTGTGTATGTATGTATGTATGTATATGTATATACATATATATATATATATATATATGTATGCACAATGGAATATTACTCAGCCATTAAAAAGAATGATATCTTACCATTTGCAATGACATGGATGGAGCTCAACTGTATTATGCTAAGCAAAATAAGTCAGAGAAAGACAAATACCATATAATTTCACTCATATGTGAAATTTAAAAAACAAAACTGATGAACATATGGAAAGGGGGGGAAAGAGCAGAGGCGGAAACAAACCACAGGGGACTCTTAGCAAAAGAGAACAAACTGAGAGTTGACTGAGGGAGACAGGTGGGAGATGGACTAGAAGGCTGATGGATATTAAGGAGGGCACTTGTGATAAGCACTGGGCATTGTATGTAAGTGAGAAAACACTGAATTCTACTCCTAAAACCAATATTGCACTGTATGTTAACTGAAATTTAAATAATAAAGAAAAAGAAATTGACAGTAAAAAAAAATACATAAGGGGCACCTGGCTGGGTTAGTCGGAAGAACGCTCGACTCTTGGTAACATTGGGTGCAGAGATTACTTAAATAAATAAGTAAACTTAAAAATTTTTTCCAACTCACATTTTTCTAATTGGTCTAAGATACATCGGTCACATTTACTGTGACATCCAAATCCACTCCTAAGAGATTGGTAGTATTACCTAGCATTAGTATATTTATAGCTTCTTGGACTGAGAGGTGAACATGTATGTACATAAAGTTGGAGCCTGCCTGTTGTTTGTGTACATTCACATATAATTTTGACCAATACAAGAAAACTAGACAGAAAGAGGTCCAAAAGAGTGTATTTCAGATATTAATTTTAGATCTCTCTTGCTATGGACTTCAGAAATGAAATTATTTCTTAAAATCATCAGTCTACCCATACTCTTCTCATTCTTTGTCTCCTCCTCCTCGTTCCCCTCCTCCTCTTCTTTCCCCAACTCCATCTCTCAAATGGAAAATGACAATGACTTTCAAGACATATATTGCTAACAAATAAGTCAGTGAATAATTGAATAAAATGATGCAACACTTAAGGTGCTTAGGGAAAACCCCAAACCTGGCTTTGCCTTTTCTAGCTTAGCAGATCAACACATAGTTCGAAGTCTCCTATAGGGGGCGCTGCCGCACTATTAAATGCTGAAGACCTGGCCTACAGTTAAAGGTCTACAATTTTTTTTTTTTTAAATTTTTTTTTCAACGTTTATTTATTTTTGGGACAGAGAGAGACAGAGCATGAACGGGGGAGGGGCAGAGAGAGAGGGAGACACAGAATCGGAAACAGGCTCCAGGCTCTGAGCCATCAGCCCAGAGCCCGACGCGGGGCTCGAACTCCCGGACCGCGAGATCGTGACCTGGCAGAAGTCGGACGCTTAACCGACTGCGCCACCCAGGCGTCCCAGAAGGTCTACAATTTTAAGCCTACATTACATAAATAGAAAAGAAATAGTAAGGGCTTATTAACATGTAATTGTGGAACACGATATTTTTCCTCCTTCACAATGTCACTGATGTCAACTGAATGTTTCTAAAGAAGTTGATACTACAATCTGTTGGTAAAACACGGAATTTTTTTGTTTTGTTTTTAGAAGATCATAGACCAGGTGTCAAAGCAATGTATTAAATGTGGGCTGCATAGTACAGGGCAAGACAGATGACTTTACAAAAGAATAAAATGATAACAATTTCAGAGGAGTGAGTCACAAAGGAGGGACGTTTCCCCCATTCTTCTGCACCAATAGCAAAGGGAAATATCACAGTACAATACAAATTTTATTAAATTTATGTCAAATCTTAATGGCTGATCCTGGAAATGTGGTTTTGTAACAAATGATCGAATCATCATCAAGGGGAGACAGGAAGTAATTAAGAGGAGATGTCAACTCTTTTTTATATTTTCAGAAGCACCAAGCTATAACTCGCTAAATTTAATTAAGTTCTGATGGAAACCTCAGTGTCTTTATTTGTTTCCTGACTCTTGGCTAAGGGTTATGAATACTAATTATTTTCAGTTATTGTTTTCAAGAGAATCTAAGAATCTAAATTAAAGTATAAATCAGTTATTAGTAAACAAATACATTAAATTATTAGGTGCATATAATAATGCTACTGAAGATTTAAGGCTAAGTTCCGAGGGTTATAAAAAGTATTAGTCAATGAAGACATTTGAAACCCAGCAAAGCTGTGCTTAAGCAATCAAATTATATCTTTCATAAAATTAAGCATCTAAATAAAAAATGTGGTGTCCTTTAATGGTGAAATTTATGGTAATTGCTTTGTTTGCTTTTCCAATTTACCCAAAGAATTGTAAATTTGTTAGCTTTCTTATTTGAATTCAAGAATAGTATTCCATTTTATGATGTTTTTAGATAATAGAGTTGGTTATATTACAAAAGTTTAAATATTTACAATGCTTTATACCTGGATGATTTATACAGACTATGAACAGACCATTTACAATATTTCTCTAAAGCTCTATTTTCCCTTTTATAGTCGCTAAATTCAATGCCTGAATCAAGCTCATAAATCACATGAATTATTGTTAGTACAGTTACTATTGCTTTTTCCACATGCTAAAATCTTAATCATAACCTTTATAATGTATAAATTGACAGTGAAAGGGCCAAGAGTTTTTTTGACCTCAACTAATTTCCACTAACTAATTATTCTGAAATTTACTGACTGACGACAGAGAACAATGAATTTGCAAGTTTTTAGCAAGGGCACATCATCATTCTCCTTGAGGATTTGAAAGAATATGTACAACAAAGAAAACAGAATTTGGGGCAAAAATAATTTCATAGGAATACAAAAATCTATTTTTATATCCTTAGCAGTCTCAGAGGTTTACTGGTATCGACAAATCTCACTGATATCATTTCTCTGACACTGGCACGTATCAAAAGAACGACTGAGGGTCGTAGGATGGGATAAATGATTATTTTCACCTACAAGGCTGTTGGATACCACCTTTCATCCTAGGAATTTCAGAGCCCTTAGCATGTGAAATGACTTACTGAATACATCATGCATGCACTCAACTTCATATGAACCAAAAGAAGTGAAATGTGAGGCTAATCCATTAGTTAACTTGAAAAGTAGTATCATTCATTACTTTAACAAAGGTTCAGGAAGCATTACCACCTGGCATTGTAATGATCCTTGGAAACAAACATGCTCGTTCTCCAGTGGGCACATCTAAATACGCAGCAAACCTAAGGATGTGAATAGGGAGAGAATAGAGTTGTAAAACCCAGGGATCTGTATTCATACAGATGACCCAAAACTCGGAGATGTTAGTACAGCGACAAGGAAAGGAATAGAGACATTGCGAGAGAGCTTGCCAAAGCAATCAATATTGAAGTCTACTTGTAGGCGCAAATATAAATTAATCATCCCCGTTGTTCCAATGAGACAACATGCACACGCATAAATTCACATACAAGTATTTTGGTTAATTTAAACATAAAACCTCAGGTAAATATAGAGGGAAAGGTCAAATACCTATCGATAATATCTGATTTCATTCAGTTACATGTCTTTAAATCTCAAATATTAAAATATAACATTTTGAAATGATTCTTTATTCCACTCACATTTAACCAAGTAATTTTATTAAAATGCTTCCAAGCCAACACCAACATCAATGTCCTCCTATCACCCTGATGCCTTTTCTGAGTCCTCTAACACTCTTCCAGAGAAAAGACCTACCACTTTAGTCTAAATAATTTGAGACACAGCCTATGGTTGAATTTGCATTTGGTATTCTTACTGGAAATGTTAACTGAAGCCATGAGTGCCTATTTGCATATTATGGAGACTTGAAAAAAAATGTCTTTTTGGAGCATTTTTGTGATCTCCACAAAATACTTCTGATAATTTTTTTTAATTAAAGATTTATTCCTTTTGGGTATAGGCACTGTGGCGTGGTACAGAGATTTGGAATGAAGCTTTGCCATTTTAATGTTTTATTTATTTTTGAGAGAGAGAGTGTGAGTAGGAGCGGGACAGACACAAAGACAGAGAGAGGGTGGGACACAGGATCCGAAGAGGGATCTGCACTGAGAGCAATGAGCCCGACGTGGGGCTCAAACTCATGAACAGGGAAATCATGACCTGAGCCAAAACTGGATGCTCAACCACCTGAGCCACCCAGGTGTCCCAAGGCTTTGCTTTTTTTTTTTTTTTTTTTTTTAAGTAAACTCTACCTCCAACCTGGAGCTTGAACTCAAAACCCCAAGATCAAGAGTCACATCCTCTTCCAACTGAGCCAACGAGGTGCCCTTGATAATCCTTTTAAACGTATTTTCGGTATTTATTTAAAAAATTTTTTTTTCAACGTTTTTTATTTATTTTTGGGACAGAGAGAGACAGAGCATGAACGGGGGAGGGGCAGAGAGAGAGGGAGACACAGAATCGGAAACAGGCTCCAGGCTCTGAGCCATCAGCCCAGAGCCCGACGCGGGGCTCGAACTCACGGACCGCGAGATCGTGACCTGGCTGAAGTCGGCCGCTTAACCGACTGTGCCACCCAGGCGCCCCGCGGTATTTATTTTTGAGAGAGACAGTGTGTGAGTGAGGCAGGGGCAGATGGATAGGGAGACACAGAACCTGAAGCAGGCTCCAGGCTCTGAGTTGTTAGTACAGAGTCTAACAAGGGGCTCAAACCCATGAACCGTGAGATCGTGACCTGAGCCGAAGTTGGATACTTAAAGCCAGGCACCCCACTTGATAATCCTTTTAAAAGTAATCTTCAAAAGGTATGCTTTAAGTGACATTTGACTATATAAATATTGAGGTATGAGGTATAAGGTAACAGATTTTTACTGGGTGTGTGTGGGGGGCAATTGCTACATGAGCATTTTTCAGAGTTAAGGGGTACTTAGACATGTTCATAGTGTGAGAGTTTTGGGTGATGCTCACTTAAGCTTTGTGGAAACTTCATTTACTGGTATGCAGAGTGAATTTACAGGAAGGAACCATAATAGGTGATAGTTCTTTTTTTTTTTAAGTGGCATAACTTTTTTTTCTTTTTTCGGCAGAGCATG